CTTCAAGTATCACAAATATACCTTACACTTTCTTAACTATATGCTTGAATATGTCTCTCTACTAAGTTAGATCTCATGACTAGAAAGACCTGCAACAAGTACATTTACTAGTACTTCATTTTCACAAGATCAACTGGTGTGAACTGTACTCTAAAATCTTAAAAACTGTTGTTTGAGTCTGACCAATAGATCTCACAACCAGCACTGAAGAACTGCTACAGCCCATTGCTTACAGTGTAACTTAAAAAGATACCTAGGTCTCAGGCCTTCTATGCCCTCTACATATAAATAACTTGACATCAACATGAAATACCAGGTTTACATTCTCTTAGAGATGAGTCATGGAGACTTGCTTATTGAGCAATTATTGTTGCATGATCCACACCTACATAGACCAGTTGGAATGTTGTTGCATTATATAATGGGGCAATTCTGAGCAGAGAGTGCATGCCAACACCAGATGGTTTGGTACAGCTAACATGTATGCTGTTAAAATATCTGCAATCCAAGAGGGCTCAACACAGGTGGCACAGAAGACAAAGAAAGAAAGAGAAAAAGAGAGAGAAAAAATGTGACTGTAATTTAATGCCTGACTTCAGAGCAGCAAAGTTTCTTGGGTGTAATTACCAGTAGTTATCCTGGAAAAGAAGTAACAGCTTCTGAGAGAATCGTGGGGTAGAGAGAATACAGGTCCATTTGCCAACATTCTTCATAGAATGACAGGGGCAAGGAGGGAATACTCATAATATTCAAAAATGTTTTTCTCTTTTCTTTTCTTTTTGAGAAATGGCTTTAAGCATGGATCTTGCTCAAGATACCTTTAGGGTCCATAACTTCCCTTGTACCCCTTATGTGATTCCTGTTATCTTGTGTCGAAAGTTGAGGAAGAGAAAAGATGACTTCTGCAGCATGACACTGGTGGCTATTCTCCGTTTAGAAAGGGAAACACTTAACAGAAACTATAACACTTACTCAATTCCGTTCTTACATATGAATAAACAATATTGCAAAATAAAACACCAAATCCTAGTTGTTCCATCCCCTTTTTCCCATGTGAAAGGATGCCCTTCTGGAAGAGTTCTACACTTTCTTTTCTTGTTTTTTATATGAATTCTTAATTTTATAACATTAGAATGAAACTCATATGAGAAAAATGGAACACCTACCTACTGAATCCAAAATTTACTGTGAAACATGTTTTTATCTTATTTTTATATTTTTGCTAATCTGTTTGTTTGGGGAGTGTCTATGTAGGGGTGGGGTGTTACTGATTTGGTAATGCCATGGGTTTTATTTAAAATTGAAGCTACATAACCCTTCCTACACTTCCATTTGAAACACGAAACCTTTCTTTGCATAATAAGAGAAAAAAGGCTATCACAAAATGAGAGGGGAAAAAAAGGAAGAGGGAGAGAGAGAAAAAAATAATACAGTGGATATCAAAATCTAAAGCACTAGTAGTACATGTAGCTTAACAACAGCTAATGGTAAAAAATGTTAGTCAATCAGAGAACAATTTTTTTTCCCCCAGAGGAAAGGAAAAGCGCACAGAGGTTGAAGAGTATTTACAAACTTAAGCTAATGCCGAGAGAAATCCCTGTGTGCTTCATCGTTTTGTATACGTTTCTATATAGTCCCTAACTTTCCATCTAAATGAGTCCTTGTCACGCTGGTAGTGTTCAGCAGCTTCGATGTTTAGAGGATCATCAAAATTCAACAGATCCTGGAACAGAAAGGAAAAAAATAGTAGGTATGAAAGTGGGTGGGCCAGAAGAGGACAGTTTTTTAAACTCGATCTTATCTTCCTTAATTTCTATTCACTCTTTGGCTTTATTGCCTTTTATATAATCATACACACAAAATCCAAATCTATTCTTTTATTTCATAAAATTTAATTTACCAATGGGAATTAGGCATTCATTTAATTAAAATTGGAACATGATAAAGAATTTTTGTTCATCATATCTGATGATAATCACATTAAAATGATAGAATATCAGTTGTAATCAACTTTATTTATAAAAATGCAAGTAAGTAGAAGTAATGAAAACTTACTTGTATAATGCAATGGAGATGACTTGAATATTCTAATTACAGAACTATTTGATCTAGCTTCCATCTTATATGATTTTCCAAAAAAACTTTTCACATGAGACATACAAGACTCATTTTCACTCCGCATAATCTATACCTAGTGAAACCATTACTCTAATAATAAATAAAATAAAGAGCATTCTTTGACAAATAACATCTCCCTGCACAACATCTACTCACCTGGAAAAGGCTACTGAGACCCCACACAACATCCTTTAACCTCCGTGTGGGAGCCCAGCCAAGGCCATCAATGGAGTTCTGCCTCAGGAGGGACAGGCAGATCTCCCCTTCTTCACTGATGTTTGGATGCCACAGTTTCGTTTCACATCTCACGACAGGAGGCTGACAATTTCAAAAATGAGATTAGATAATTTCAGATAAGATTATAACAGATTATCTCATCAAAATTTATCATATTGTATTGTTAGTCCTTAACCCTTAGTATCCAGACTGGCTATGACATGGAAAGGACTAAACCTTGGGGTGTGCTTGGATGTGGAGCTGCCTGCTACTACCAGCACAATAGCTTCAAAAATAAAGACATATTTTGTGGAACATAACCCTTGCAAATGCTGAGGGCCAACTGTAGAGTCTATCAAAACTAACAAAATATAAGCAATAAGAAGGTCACAGTCCTAAACAAAATTTACTAAGACTTGCATAAGCAAGCTATATTATAATCTTCAGGTACTTTACTAAAACTTGCATAAGCAGCAGCATACTTACAGCTATATTATAATCTTCAGGTACATTGATACTAAAAACGAATACGCCTCCAGCCCAATACCCCTCAGGTGGGGCCACAATGAGGCGGAAGGTGTGGAGGGCATTGGGATCCTCAAACTTCACCGTACATCCCTCTGGCAGGTTGCTCTCCATTTCACTAACCTTGTAATAAGAAAATGTGTTATGCTTATATTTCTTGCTCCCTTTGAAATTAAACAGTTTATGTATTAGTGAGGAATCATTATGAGTTTTAAACATGATATTACAGTCTTGTAAGAAAGAGTGAGAAAGAAAGAGAGAAAAAAACAACAACAACACATACACAAAGTGTCTATCTAGAACAGTGCAGAAATACTGATGTGTTGCTCTCTAAAATATAATTTCTCCATCCCTGGAAACAGAATAATTTAGTGTAAAATGAAATGAATGACAATGAAAAAAATGAGAACAATAAATAAAATAAAATAAAACAAAAAACAATATAGTGGAATCAAGGAGAGGGAGAAGATCAAATATGCTGGGTCAGCAGTTAGTTGGACGGCTGGGTCCAGCTCCCTCCCAAGGTAACCTTGACTAGACACCAAAAACAATAGGGGCTAAATGTTTACAACAAGAAGTGTAAAAAGTCCTAAAATTGAAAAATGTTTGAAACATAATGCAGTAAAGACGATGATATGCCAAAACTGAGATAGAAAAAAATGTCAAATATTGAAAATGTACACTTAAAAAGTAGAAAACGAGTCTTAGGCACAAAGGATGAACATCTGATAGGAAAAGTTAAAGAATTAAGAGCAGCAGCAGCTGGTGCAGAGAGGACTGTACGGCAAATAACAACAATTTTAAAACAGAACTAGATAAAATTCAAATCTGTAGTGAAATATCAGAATCTAGCTTCATAAAAGAATTGAGTAGGACTGAGAAAGTGAGCTAACAAACAGTGTAATTGAAAAACAAGTAATCTAGAAAATATGAAACAATTGGACCATGTGGTAGATCAAAAGATCAATCATGCCAAAAATATGGAATCCGAGTCTCTCAAAAGACACAAGTTTGTTAAAATCTGATAAAAAAAAAAAAAATCACCTTATAATCAGACAACATGGCAGGTCTCAGTGGAAAAATTGAAATAACTCACGTTTTTCTCTTTACAAAGGCAGATAGAAAGATACTTCAATACACATGTAAAGAAGTTCACTGAAAACTTTGCACCAAAAAAACACTCACCTAGACAGGGAAGGCCATGTTATCATTCTATGATAACAACTCAACCTTCCCAACTAAGAAAAATATGTAATCAAAATTAATTATTAGGCATGACTTTTTAATAGTAAACCATAAAGTAATAGAAACACAACTCAGAGCTCTATGGAAATGTTTAAAGGAAATTAAGCCTAAGACAACTGGTTGAATTCATTGCCAGATAAACAGTTACCAAGTGGTAGTGAAAGAATACAAGCTGAATCAAATTCTATCCCTCATCAAGTTCTGTTCTTAGTTTTCAGGATAGCCCTAGCATGAGTCGCTAGGAGGGTTATTGCTTAACCTGGTCATGACGGGATCTGAATTTTTTGTGATGTAATATTAAGCAACAGTCTAGACTTTGAGGCTGTATACAACCGGCCCACCCGTTACAAGTCATGACACGTACGTACATCATAGGTCATTACGGATATAGCTGTACCCTTCACTGAAGGGTGAACCTTACAAGTAAGTATACAGTTTTCATTCTTTTCTTTTCTTTTTTACAGTTCTAATAGGTCAATGAACTGATAACCTGACCTTTTCTTATGCATATATCAATATATCAGCTTCAGTAAATATAAATGAAGTTCTTATTTTCTAGAATCATTAAAACATTCTTATAAGGTTTTCAAACTTCAATCCCCAATAACTTTTATTATTATATAGCTCAAATGAAAACAGAGAGAACAAGGAAATTTGCAAACATCTACAAATGGCTACATCTGGACAAAATGGAATCAAGACATTTTTGAACATGAATTGAGCTGTCTCTGAAACCTCCTTTAGTCTAAATAGGGAAGGAAGTACAAGACATCATGTCTTATATAGCATTATATGTTCCTCTCCAAAGCTACTCACATGATTATGTAAGAACTAGTAATATTAATCATATAAAAAGATTTAAGGCTTAGATTTCTAAATGGTAGGAAGGTTTGGAA